TGTATCGCCACATGTTCCATGGCTTTACCTGTGTCCCATTACATGTTGCTCCTTGAACAGGTTGGCGTCTCCCCCACTCCTTTCTTCTCTTACTGTCTCTCTTGGATTTTCCCACCTGGCTCCATCCTGCCCTGCCATAGGCCAATGCAGCTTTATTTATTAGCCAATGGGAGCAACACATATTCACAGCATACAGAAAGACATCCCACAGCATATATACCTGTAATTTACTGAACCTTGAACTTTAAGGGATATAATTCATGAATTATATGATCTTCAATTTACTTTTTGTGGTCTTGGAGGTCAAACTTTGAGCCCTGTACATGCTTGACATGCTTTCTCTCACTTAGTTTTATTTCCAGTCACTTTCACTTTTATTTTGAGGTGGGGTCTGGCCTAGTTGCCCAGGCTAGACTTGGACTGACTGTGTAGCTCAAGTAGGCCTGAACTTGTGACTCTCCTGCCTCAGCCGCTTGAGTAGCTGGGATCCCCTTGCCACCAGGCTATTATTTGGATCTGAGTCCCCCCAAGACCCTCATGTTAATTAGCACCACCCAGCCTTTGAAGGGGATACTGGGATACCCCCTTCCTACTTTGCCTCCAGGGGGCTGAGTTGATAGTCTTCCTTAACCTCTCACTGGGACCATCATGATGTTCTGTGACATCACACACCGAAGCAACTGGGACAAGTGACCCTGGACTTAAATGTCAGACTTTTCAAGCTGATGTTGTCATCCCCCCATGCCCTAAACACACACGGCAATGGGCATCTTAGTATGCTTTTTCCCCCGCTCTGTTCTTGCATTGCACAGTATTTTGAACAACTCTGTAACATTTGTATTTTATTAATTGTGTTTCTGTAGTGGGATGTGCATGTGTGCCAGTGCATATGTGTGGAGGTCAGAAGACAACTTGTGGGAATCAGTTCTCTCCTTCCACCATGTGGGGCTAGGGATTAAATTCAGGTCATCAGGCTTGGCGGCAGGTGCCTTTACCCTCTAAGCCATCTTGACAGCCCAAGCTTGGTGTATGTGTGTGTGATACACAGCACACACACACACACAAACACACACACACACATTTAAAAATATATATGTATTTTAAAAATTTTTACTTTCTGTATACAACTGTTTTGCCTGTATGTATGTATGTATATATGTATACCATGTCCAAGCCTGGTGCCAGCAGAGATCGAGAGAAGAGTGTTGGGTTCCCCTGGAACTGGAGTTAAGGATGTTTGTGAGCCAACATGTGGGTTCTGGGAACTGAACCCTAGTCCTCTAAGTAGCATTGAACCACTGAACCTCTCTCCAGCCCTCCAAGCATGATACTTCTAACATGTTCACTCATGCCGTTAACACCCACAAATGATCTCTTCTTTGCTTATGAAGTGTCGTATAATACTTCCTTCTACGGCTACGCCACATTGGATTTGCCCTCCATGGACATGTGTCTTCTTCCCTCTTTTCTGAATAACTCTGTTCTGCTACTCTGGTGCCAGCTCTCATGTGGACATGCACTTTCACTTCTCTTGGCGGTATGCCTGGCAGGGAAGCTGCTGAGTCACACATGATTCTTTGACTTCTGGAAGAACTGCCCGCCGCCGGCCTGCTGCACTCCACCAGTGCGTTCCAACTCCCTGTCAGTGACGCTGGGCGCTCCAGTTTCCTCCTCTCTGACACTTGTTATTGTTTGTCTTTTCAGTCATAATACTGGATTCTTTCAAGCAAGTAAAGAACTGCAAACAGAGGCCTTTCTTCCACCTTTGCTAGCCTTTGGTCTAATTGTAAAGTACAAAGAAAGCATTCACTAAATGAAAACACACACTCTTTCTCTACACACCCACCTCCCCCATCCATGCCCACCCCACACATATTATATACACATACATGTCGTATGTTGTGTATGTATGTGTGTGTGTGTGTGTGTGTGTGTGTGTGTGTGTGTGTGTGTGTGACTGAGGATTCAACCCAGGGCCTCCTGCTAAGCAAACATTGTACCAAGAACTACACCCACCCCCAGTATTTGCAGAACAAACGAAAACAGTTCCTTTAACTTGTGTATTGTCTTCAGAATGCACTGAGGAGGTGAGACTCACAGAAACCTGAGGAAGAAAGAGTGGGGATTCCAGACCTGGGGATTAAAGACCTGAGGAGAGTAATCTGGAGCAAAGCTTGCTCTTAAGGAAGAGCTGAAAACCTTGTTCTCCTAAGCCCCCCTCTTTACTCTGCAATACTGGTTCTCAGTATTTCTTCTAAGTGCCACATGAGTGAGTGTTCAGAAAAGAATGTTAAGAAGTTTCAGAATCGCTTAGTTAGAAAACGAAAAGCCAGCAACTCAGCCGAAGCTGAAGGGACCATGGGCTTTGGCAGTGTGGAGCCTGCTAACTGCACTTGGGACAGTCACCAGTCCCAGGGGACGCAGCAGGCACAAGGCGAGCCACTGGGCTTCTAACTTTAGCAAACACACTCTCTGGCTTTGAAGTAGAACTGGCAGATGAACAAACACACCGGGCTAGAAAACGTAGGGCGTTTCAAAGAGCATCAGAAATGAGGCGAGCCCTGTCGACTTTGGCTTAGACACACGCCTCACCTGAGACACCTGGGACAGGAGACCGTGAGATGGGTCGGCTCTGCATTCCGACTGAAATACTTGCGTTTTTTGCAATGGGAAGTCGGAAAACACTCATGGAATGCCCAATGTACTGTATAATGAACTTCACACAGTTTGAAATGATCAACATTTTGCTGCTTTATGAACCTGACTTGTATTCTTTTTTTTTTCAAAGACAGATATAGCTGTGATGTTCAGGTTGGTCCTGAAGTCCTTAGTTCAGGACATCCGTCCTTCCTGAGTAGCTGAGACATTATCTATCTATCCAGTTTGTGTGCGCGCATCTGTGTACAAGCTCGTTGTTACTCAAGTGCCATCTACTTTCTATTTTTTCTTTGAAACAGGGTCTCTAACTGCACTGGAACTTAGGAAGTAGGGTAGGCTGGGTGGCCAGGAGCCTCAGGGACCCACTTGTCTTGGCCTTGCCTGTGTTAGGAAATGATGCCACCATGCCTAGCTTTGGGTGAGAGGAAGAAGTTGGTACTTGTGCTTGTAAGACAAGCATTTTACAAACTGGGATGTCATCCCAGCCTCAAAAACTCATTTATAACTAGGCACGATGGACATTTCTGTGAGTTGAGCACCTGGAAGGTGAATGAAGATTAGGAGTTCAAGGTCATCCCTGGTTATAAATGGAGTTAGAAGGCTAACATGGGATACATGAGAACCTATGTCAATTCTTCTGTTTCTCAAACATGTATCCAATCAGATCAAGAATGGCCTCGATATCCCATTGATCTTGAACTTCAGCTCCCCTTGCCTCAGACTCCTGAGGGTCGCTGCCTGGCTTATTACTTTTGTCTTTATTTACTTATTTTTGTTTTTTGAGACAGGGCCTCTCATGTAGGCCAGGCTGGCCAGGAACTCTCTAGTCCGTCAAAGATGACCTTTAATTGTTGATCCTTTCTCTACCTTCAAAGTGATGGAATTAAAGGCGTGGACCACCACATATGGCTTGACTTCTAAATAAATGCTTATTTGTACGAAGACTGCAAAAAACTGTTAATAAGGCCATTTAAATAAGCACATATGGGAAATGACCAAAGAAAGTTGAGTTGGTTACTTTTCAACTGGACATAACCTAGAGTCACCAGGAAAGCAGGAAACTTCAACAGAAGAACTGCCCAGCCACTGTGAGAGATGTCTTATTCCGCATGGGAAGGCCCGGCCCACTGCGGGCCTGAGTCAGCACGCAGCAGTTCTTTAGGGTTGCCAGGAGCTGGAGCCACGTGGGATTGTTACCTGCCAGCGTGAGCCTGATATAAACCCTTTCCTCCCTAAGCTGTTTCTGGCCAGAGTGTTTTCTCACAGCAAACGGAAGGGTGAAGTCACGAATTCATAACTGCTCATCTTTCTTTATCCCGTGCTGAAGTGAACGGAACGGTGGAGCAGTTAACAAGGCCCCGAGCAGAACCCAGGGCTGGCCAACAGGAGTCCAAAGGCTGGGAACCAGGTCTTACTCTCTGCTTACTGACCCTCCCTGAACCAGTCCGCGTTCACAGGCCAGTCTGAGTACAGATTAGATTTCATCATCACCCACCTTAAGATCTCAGAGGAGTTGGATTTTTTGAGTCTGACTTTACTCCGTAAAAATAGGACTAACCGTCTCAAAAGGGCACTATACAAATTAAAAGTGGAGTAGCTATACAGAAAGGCACACCAAGGTGTCCTGTGATAGCCCTTCCCTTCGCCACTGTTCCTCTGCTAGCCTCTCAGGGCTCGGGGATAGACACGCGGACAGGCGGTGTATTATCTGATCTCTCTTACCCAATCTAAGAGGGTAGCCAACTGCTCAGAGATCCGCCAGGCCAAGAAATACAGGAAAGGACAAGAAGCCCGCCCGAAACGGCAACATTGATTCATCTCTTCAGATCCTTGCGTTCTAATCCCGTGCGGCCCGGCTGTCTCCACCGCTTTCGGGTCTGCAAAGGGAATCTGTTAAACCTTGCTGTTGTTCCGGGTCAGACTCTTGGGCCTGCAGGTCGGAGAACCTCCCACAGCGCCCTATTCGGTCCTGATGGAGGCAGCATGCCAGGGGAGGGCAGCCAAAGCCGGGCAGCTTTCTTCACCCGATCTCCAGAAGCCCTTCGCCCGGGGGCGTTCCTGAGCGCGGGGGCGGGCACAGCCGGCACCGCCCCCGCCCCCATCAGGGTGGTGCTCGGGCGCCGATCTTAAAACTTCGGCAAAGTTTGCTGCGGGTCCCGAGCACGTGCAGCTTCCTCGCGTTCCCCCGGCCGCCGCCCGTCACCTGCGCGCACTCTCCGCCGCTCCCTACCCGCCTTCCCCCTGCGCTCGCACGCGACGCGCAGCTCCCGGGCTCCAGGAGGCGGCGGCGGCGGCGGCGGCGGCGAGGCGTAGCGGGCGCCCCGAGGATCCCCGGGAGGCGGGGTCAGGGCGGGCCGGCGCTCGGTTCCCGGAAGCTGCTGCCTGCGAGGCTCCCGCCGAGCGGACCGGCGCGCCGGCCCGAGCTCCAGCATCCTCACCCGGGAGCGCCTCCCGGAGCCGCGCACACCGCCACCGCCACCGCCGTCCCCGCCAGGCCGCGCGTACCCCGGGCAAGATGCTGCCGGTGCACACCGAGGTGAAACCCAACCCGCTGCAGGACGCCAACCTCTGCTCGCGCCTGTTCTTTTGGTGAGTGCCCTGCCTGGGCCCGCCTCGCTGTCCGTTGAGATGCTCCGCGCCGGTCCGAGGCGGTCGGAGGATGCGTTCCCTGCACGGCCGCGCACTCCGGGCTCCCCGTCGCGCGTGCGCCGCGCCGCGCCGCCTGCCGTCCCCGCCGGCACCCCACGCCTGCGCCGCTCCACGCCGGAGGAGCACGCGGGGGGCCCGGTGGCAGGCACAGGTGGCTCCCGTCCACAAGCGCGGGCATCAGTGGGAGGTGCAGAGTCGCCGTCCTGCCTTGGAAGACAGACCCCGCATACCTCCCACCTTCCCTGGTCCAGATACCAGGCGCGCCCAAACTGCACCGTTTTCTTTTCTCTTTAAACCAAGCAGCTGGGAACAGCTGGTCTTGTCTAATCGCCGCTGAAGCGGGAGTGCTGGAGCAGCGCCACGCTCTAGTGTCCCCACCGCCTTCTGAAGTACCTCCCCAGACATCTTTCTGTCAGCTCCATCAATTGCCACTGTGGGTGCTTGTGTGTGTCGTTTGCTAGGAAGTTTAATAAGCGATAGGACCGTATCTCTCTTTCTGGCCCTCAGTGTGTGTCCTGGTACCTAAGTACAGCTGATCTCGTGTGGGTAAAATATTAATTTATTATCGTGTCTTCTTTACTACTGAATGGGGACACTGCTCCTGAACAAGGGCTGCAGGACGTTTCCCTCTTGACTGACACGCAGCCATAGTGGAGTATGTGTTGCCCTGTTAGAGGGACTTTTCACTTCTGCCTTCGATGACTGATGACTGCATCGCTCTTGGAGGAGTTTTTTAAGCCTGTGTGTGTGTGTGTGTGGGGGGGGGGGCAGTCTTACCAAGATCTCTAGTCTTTAGAGACAGGATCCATGCCTAAAACCACTGATGGGTTCCCTGATCTGGCCCCAGCCTTGCCCCTCTTATTGTAGCGAAGTGGCGTAGGTAAGTGACATTCCTAAGTAGTTTTCCATCTCGCAGCCTGGGCTGGCTAGTACTCACGCTTGGCTAACTAGTGTAGTTTTCGTTTCTTGACCTCTGCCATTTCATCTTTCTCACATTCTAATGTTACCTTTTTAAAATGGGAAAACCTAGGGAATTTCAAATTGCTTACTATTAATTAAATTTCAAATTAAATTTCTAAAAATTTACTATTGTTTTAATTTCATATATAGTGTGTGCAGGATCTGATATTGGACATTTGGTAGAGAGGAGCAGGCAGGAAGAAGGAATATGGGTGGGGTTAATATAAAAAATAAAAAACCTCAAAGCAGGTGAACTGTCTTGGTCTCCTGAGCTTTTGGCAGGACACAGAACTCTTTTTGTTTTTGTTTTTCAAGACAGGGTTTCTCCATGTCGCCTTGGCTGTCCTGGAACTCACTCTGTAGACAAGGCTGGCCTTATCTATAGAGCCAGAGATCCGCCTGCCTCTGCCTCCCGAGTGCTGGGATTAAAGGCGTGCGCCACCACCTCCCGGCTAGGACATGGAAACCTTGATGACCTTTCTGTGTGTGGACTTTCCAAATGTAGGTGAAGGGGGAGCTGGGTGTGAGTGGCACATACCTGTGGGAGGCTAAGAAGGGAAGAGGACTTGAGCCTGAGGAGTTGACACCAGCTTAGACAATGTGGCTGTCTTTTGTTGTTTGCTTGTTTGAGGCAGTCTCTCTCATAGCCCAGGCTGGTCTTGAAGTCCTTGAAGTCACAGCAGTCCTCCTTACTGCCTCAGTCCCCTGAGTGCTGGGAATATAGGTGTGAGCCACCATGTCTGTCAAAAGAATGTAAGTAGTAGCTGAGTGTGGTATCACACCCCTTTAAACCTTTAGTCCCAGCACTCGGTAGGCACAGGCAGGTAGAGTTCCAGGACAGGAGTGATCTCCCATTGCTGGCTTGGGTGGGCACTCCTATCCATTTTCTAGTTGGGGAGAAATGAGCTGTCAGCTCTAGTTTACACCCATGAAGACACTCAACTGAGATATTTTAATTAACCTATCCAGGAAGACACAGTGTCCAGCAGGATGCAGATCTGGGCAGTCTGGCTCCCGGGAGCTGCTGTGCTGTGCTGCTTTTCATGGAGGTTGGTTCTCCCAGGCATGGAGGAGGAGGTTTCATTCGCTCCTGTTCTTACAGGTGGAGTTTCTCAAGGGATGTTCTTACAGTTCCTGTCGTGGAAGATGATGCATGTGGAGCATCTACCGTCTCGTTATACGGCACCTGCTCTCAAAGTTAGGCAGTCAGAAGGGCAGCATCAGCACTACCTGGGAGCTTATTAGAAAGATGCAGGGTCTCCAGTATCCCTACAGACTGGCTCAGAAAAATCCGAAGCAGTGGGGGTACATGCTACATTCATGTGTCTTCCACGAGGGGCCCAGGTGATGCTGATGAAGGCTGCAGATGGCCCCCTGCACTAAGGTTCTCCCCCTGCTCTTTCCCATTCCAGTGTGATGCTCTGCAGGAGGGCCATGACTTGGTGAAGTCTCCTGTGGACAGTGATGGCATCTGTGTGCCTACTTACTGAGTGCATCCTTTCTCAGTCTCTAGGTTCGTGGTTCCCTTCTGCAGCTGCCTTGCTGCAGGTGGGAAGTCAGAAGGTGGCCTCCTGCAGTTGCCCACCTTGTAGAGCAGACCTGGTTTTTCACCTCCTGGTGGACTGTTTGCTTTTCCTCCCACACTTCGTCTGCTTCCTAAACTCCTGAGTGGGTAGCTGCCCAGCCAGATGATAACAGCCGGTACAATATGCTTTCCTAGGATTTTGGCGATCTGTAACACAGTTTGGTTTTGTGCCATACACTGTTAGTACTGTTGAAAATGGTTGTGGATTTCACGGGATGATTGTTTTCTACTGAAGACAGTGGAAACACTGGGGTGGAATAAGGGTGGTAATTTCTATCAGTCTGACACACCTGCTGATATCTTAGTGTGTCTTGCACACATTTGTTTCAAGGCACACATTTGCAGGACCACATCCACGCTAAGTAAAGCTGTAAACTCTGCTACAGGCCCTTTAGTTTTTATGGTGGACTTTCAGGCCTGGTATTTCTGACTGTAATTTATAGTTTTTCACTGCTGTTGAGCACAGTGTATCCAGTGATTGATTATGCTGCATGTGTCTGTGGCTGTATATTTTGGTGTCCCCACTTCCCCTTTCCCAGGCTGCTGGTGCTGGGGTTGGAGTCAGGATTATGCAGGTTAAACACACACTCACCACGGGACCACACCTCGAGCCCCATCAGAACATCTTTTTACCTCCCAGGCTTACCTGGATTGCCTGTGCATAGTTCTTAGCTAGTGCGTTGTTTCGTTTCTGACAACAAAGGCAGCCAGAATTTCTTCATGCTGTTGATATAACATAGGCACCAGTTTTTTCAAAACAGCACATTTTCCCATCACCGTTTATTGAGTAGTGCGTCCTACCTGTCATTAGAAATCCGTGGTAGAGCTTATGAAATGCTGTGTCCGTCAGGGTGTGGGATGGTCCAGACTTCCAGGGTTGCCCTGTTTCCCGCTGCCCCCTGCTGTTGTCACCAGCATCCAGCAAGGCCGGGGGGGGGGGGGGGGGGGGGCGGGGGGGGTGCTCTGCAGTCCTAGGCCAGGGCTCCTGCCCAGGTCTTGGGTTGCGGCCACAGATCCAAGGTTAACAGTGGAGGCGCTTTCCCAGGGTGCCATTGTTGAGGGACTCCAGGGGACATATGCATTTGGCCCCAGAGAGTAGTTATGTCCTCCTCCTCCTGTGGCTAATTGTGTCTCTGTTGATGGAATGTTGTCTTGCAAAGCCCATGCTCTTGTAGAAAACTGCCGTGGGTGATGGGACAGACTTTCTGGGGACTCGGCTTAGAAAAAGCTCATGATGTGAAGAGGGTAGAAGTGCACATGGCTTAGAGAGGTTGGCTGTGTGTTGCTCCCTCCTCTGCCATCAGTGGGCAGCAATTCTGAGTATTTATTTATTAATTTTATTTCGTGAGACTGGGTGTCACTTTTTAGCCCAAGCTACTGGTAGGGAATGCTTATACCTTACTGCCCTGAGTGCTGGGATTATAGGTGTGAACCATGCCCAGCTTATCTGTGTTTAATTTTAAACTGTGGCATTTGGTACCATTTTTTGAGTACTTTTTAAATATATAATACACACACACACACACACACACACACACACACACACACATACACACACACATACACACACGAACACCCCCCACGAACGTATACACACACACATGAACATCCCCCCCACACTAACACATACACATACATGAACACCTCCCTATACCCACATGAACTCACACACACAAACCCATACACACACCTGCCACCAGCCAGTGCCTGTCCCTGCTGAGCCGTCTGTGGCCTAGCTGGCAATAGGCAGAGGGCCCGGTTTGTAGTGGGAACCGAGAAGAACTCCTGCCCTCCAGAGCAGGAAGGAAAGTTTCAGGCTTATTTAAAGATTAATCCTTTAAGAACCTGCCTATGATGTAAAATCTGAGGAGCGTGGAAAGCTGAAGTCAGCAGGGCTGTGGCTGGATGTGCAGATGGTAAAAGTTACATTCACCTGCCTTAGTAATGGCCTCTGACATGCTTTTAAAAGTAGAGGTTATGGGTCTCTTACGGAGTCCTCAGGAACTCTGGCCCTAGTGAGTTGGTGGCCTAGTCTGTCCCTGCTGAACCCAAGCCTAGTGGGTGGGCTTTGGGGAATCTGTTTTGAGGGCTGCTAGTTCCAGTATCCTCAGACCACCCTGAGAGGCGTGGGTCAGAGGGGTCCACTGAGCTTTCACAAGAGTGATCACTAACACCTGTATATTGTGTTCCATTTTACATGTTACCTCAAGAAATTCAATCCTCAGTCTCTGAGGCAGACAGTATCACCGTTCTCTAGGGGAGATGTTGAGGTCCAAAGGGGTTGTGCAACTTCTCAGGAACCTTGTAGCTTGGAAGTCACTGTGTCACAGCCGAGATGCTATCTGGATCATCAGAATGTGTTGTGGGTGTGCCCATCAAGCCAGAAGTTCTCAGC